TGCTCCATCGGCATATATTTCTACTCCCAGGTATATAAACTTTCCAACCGTTTTAATGTCATCTTCATGTATAATGTTTTGTGGGATTATATTTCTTCTCGTCTGTACCATTATTTTTGTTTTTTCTGTGTTAATTTCCAGACCTAGCCTTTTCGTTTGTGTTTTTAACTCTGCGTATGCTTCCTGTGCTCCTGTTGATGTTCTACTCATAATATTAATATCATCGGCGTAGGCAGCCAGTTGAACCGTTTTATTGGTCAGTAGGTTTTCTCGTCCAGTTTGCATTTGCCTAACCGCATACTCCAGTGCCAGGTTAAACAATGTTGGTGCCAGCCCATCTCCCTGCTTTAGTCCCTGCGAGATTTTGAAAAAGTCTGTCCGGTTGTTTTGTATTCGTACACATGCCTGAGTTTCATCCATTGTGGCTTTAATGAGTCTAATTAGCTTATGTGGTATTGCTAATTCTGCCAATATATAGTATAGTCTGTCCCTTTTGACTGAATCGTATGCCTGTTTGAAGTCTACAAACACGTTGTGAACATCAATGTCGTGTTCCCACGATTTGCTCAAGACCTGCTTGACTGTAAATATTCGATCCATTGTCGATCTTCCCCGTCTGAAGCCCGTCTGATATTCTCCAATAATATTTTCTGCTAGTGGTTGGAGTCGCTGGTTTATAATATACGTGAGGACTTTATACGCTGTACATAGTAGAGAAATTCCACGGTAGTTTTTGCATTGGAGTTTGTCTCCTTTTTTATAGATTGGGCATACTATACTTTTCTTCCATTCGTCGGATATTTTCTCTTCTTGCCATATTTCTTTGATAAGCGCGTGGATATGACTTGATAGGTGGTTGCCACCTACCTTATACAGTTCTGCTGGAATCTCGTCAACTCCGGGCTTTATTGTTTTCTGGGCCTTAATAGCTTCGAGAACTTCCTCTATGGTTGGAGCTTCTACTTCAACTTCGTTCTCTTCTACATGGTTCGTACCCATTTCATCTTCCATATCTACTTGTGTTCCAAGTAGGGTCTGAAAATAGTGCTTCCAGGTTTCTGTGACTTTCTGTTGGTCACTGATTATTTGCCCACTTTCATCTTTGCATAGGCTTGTTTGAGGTTTATATCCACTTTTTATCTTTTTTAGGTATTCGTAAGCTCCTCTAATTTCGTTTTTTTTTTTTTTGAAATTTTGTTTCATTTCTTCTATTTGTCCATTTTCATAAGCTCTCTTTTTGTTTCTGTATATCATGTCTGCTTTCCGTCTTGCGACTTCAAATGATGTTCGTCTTTCCCGTGTTCTTCTTGTTATGTACATTTTGTGCGCTTCGTTTCTTTCTTCTATCGCTTGCCTGCACTCGTCATCAAACCATGTTCCTCTTCTCTTCTTTTTTCTTGTTTCCCACGGTGGACGCTGCTGCTGTCAGCACTGCTGTTTTGATATTATTCCATTTGCTCTCTATGGAGTGCAGTTCTTGTGTCCTTAGCTCATTTGTGACTTCTTGCTCGAACTTCTCTCTACATTCCTGAGTCTTCAGTTTTTCCAGGTCTAGTTTGTTTGTTCTTTGTTGTCTTTCGTTTCTTTCTCTGTTAACTCTGCACCTAAATTTGGTTTGCAGTAAAAGATGGTCTGATCCACAGCATGCTCCTCGTCGTGTTCTCACATCAGAGATACTACTGGCTGCCCTTTTGTCTATCATCACATGGTCAATTTGATTGGTTGTGGTTCCATCTGGTGAGATCCACATCATTTTGTGTATGTCTTTATGTGGGAAGCATGTGGAGCTTATAACCATGTTTTTACTGGTGGCAAAATTTATCAAAAACTCCCCATTCTCGCTTGTTTCATTGTGCAGTGAGTGTTTTCCTGTTGTACCATAGAACTGCGGTTCCTTGCCTATTTTGGCATTCATATCACCCATTATAACCTTAATGTCATTTTTTGGCGCGTTGTCATATACTATCTCCAGCTGTTGGTAGAAGCTTTCCTTTGTATGTTGCTCTTGTTCATCTGTTGGGCAGTAGATGTTTATCATAGTAAGGTTGAAGAAGTGGGTGCGAATTCTTAGTTTGCATATCCTTTCATTCACTGCCTGGAAGTCTATGATTTTTGACTTAAAATCATTATCTACCACAAATGCAACTCCACATTCTTTGATTCCTTGTTCTTTGCCACTATATAGAATTGTGTGCGGTTTGGTGTCCCTGACACCTTTCCCCAGCCATCTTGTCTCCTGAAGAGCAGTGATCATAAGATTATATCTTTTTAGTTCTTGTAGAAGTGCAGTTTGAGCTCCTGGTCTATTTAGCGTCCTCACATTCCAGCTTCCAAATGCATAGTCCATGTTTCGTAGCTTTAGTCGTTTCCGAAAGTTCCCCTTGTTCCGAGGCAAATGTTTAGGTTTCATAACAGTGTGTTTTTCCGGGAGTGGGTTGTTAGCCCATTGCCCAACCTTCCTCCTTTACCCGGGCTTAGGACCGGCAATGGTGACTCCTGAGCTATTCAATCCACCCATTAGTCACCACAGGCGGAGTTACTGAAGCAGATTAGCCGTGTAGAAAAACAAAATGTAGTTTAATGGCTTTCAATATATCTGGTTCCTTTAATCTTGTTAAAAGATATCGACTGCTCGAGTTATTGGTTAATTTAACTCTTGGTGGGGTCAAAGGATCCAGATTTATGGATGGTTCCAAAGTATCCTTCTTAATGAAGTTATTATGAGAATGGAAAGCATTCTTAACTTTGCAAATTTCGATGACCTGCTTGTCTGTGACTATTTTTGCGTTTTTCACTTAATTTTTGTTGTTGTTTAAAATGGTAATTGGATTTTCTAAACTAGCAGGGCTTATGAAGTTCTTCGAATACATATTTGACCAGATGAAGGCGTTGGTTTGGAATTTGAAGATCCTATAGACCATTTTATGTTTACACCAGGTGGCCAAATTTCCTTATTAAATAATAAGTCATTTGAGGTTTTAGATTTTATTCCTATTTTGAATAATAAACCACTCGCTGTATCGGCATCTCGAAGAAGGGCATGGAATTGGATATATTCCTTTATATCCAGCTTCTCTTTAATAAACAACTTGTGTAGGGGTGTAAATTATGGTTAAGTTGGAAATAACTACATAATGGCATTTATCTTCTGTATTTTTTTACTTTTTCTCAGCACTTGATTCGAAATGTTGAGGGACTTCAGTTTGGGTACCTCAGGTGGTAGTCAATGTAAGTACTTAATACATTTTATTGATCTAGCATTATTTATTTAACAGCTTTATAGAAACTGACTTTATTTGCGGCAAAATGCAAAAATTGAGTACGAAAGCTGCACTCTTCTCCTTTAAAACGCATTTATCGACTTATTATAATATCGACTTATTACTGTTGAGTTGATTTTAATTTTATTTAAAATTGATTTCGCACTGAACTCACATTTAAAATCGCCGATCACTCTATGCATTGTTTCTGACAGAATGGTTTATTCTATACAAAAAGGGCTATTTAATATTGTTGTTTAAAATTATCTTAGAATCTCAGTTACATTTCTTGTTTGAAATGTTTTTTCTACAACGTACAAAGTCTTGGTAAATCAATGTTTTCTTCAATGATTTTTAGAGGTCAAATCACTGACGACTAGACTATAATAGTAGAAGTAGAGAGAGAGAGAGAGAGAGAGAGAGAGAGAGAGAGAGAGAGAGAGAGAGAGAGAGAGAGAAATAATATAGATGTTAGGGACTCAAGATTTTGCAAGGATCAGCAGAAAATAGTGTTGAGTTTTCAGAACAAATAAGAAAAGAAAACTTACCATTTATAAATGCAAAACATGCCGGGGTAGGCCTAGTCTATGTGCAGAATGTTTTGATGATTTGCATCATGCCGAATTTTTTCAGCATTCCTTAAAACTATATAGAATAGTGATTTAGTGCAGTACCTGTTTTGTCTTCCTATTTTTCTTTTTGAAGATTGAAAGTCTAAAGAATTAAGATCTGGCTAAGAAGAATTTCTTGGCCAGAATTTTGGATCTTATGAGTCCACTCGATTAACACCACTTTCGACTAGAATTTGACGTTCAGGAGAATTCTTTTCAGGATGTAACTCGATATCACAAAGTGGGTCTGAATTTGCTGTGGATGAATCATCTCGACGTGATGAAAATCCTGCTGCAAATTTTATTTTATTAAAAAAGTAACTAAAACACTCAAATAAACCTATCGTCTAAAACATCTGAAACTGTTGCAATTGGATCGTCTTGAAAAGAAGTGCTCGTTGGTATACTATCTTGTCTGGATTTGATAAAAAAGCTGAATATTGGGCTTTTTTAATACTGTATTTAATTTTTGTTGTTTATCTAACTTCACTAATAAATAAGGAAAATTTGAGATTAGTGATAGTGATTAGTCTCGAAAACTACGCTAACACGACTGACGACTGACGACATGGCGTGTTGGAGCCGGACAAGCTGCCGCCAGGCGCAGTGGCGCTGGCCGATTTCCCGGAAACACGAAACGTGTTTTTGTGCGACCTGCTACCGCAGATCAACCTGCTATTTCAGAAAATCAACCCCATAAATTTGAAATATCCACATATAGAATTAAAACGTGGTGGGAGCGACGTACCGCCGGGGGCTAATAGTCCCATAGCCCCTTCTTAATCCGGCACTGCATACGAAGTAATATTTTTTGGGACATTATTTTTTTATTTCTTTAACTCATCTGGTAATTTTATATTGTTTTGTGGTTGTATTGGATTAGGGATTTGAGAGAATGAATATAATTTTTTCTTTATAAGTAATTATAAATAATAAAAATAATTATTTCTCGGATGTGAATGACTGTAACACCAATGATCCAAGCCCAAAAATGGATGCTTTAGACAGAAATAGCTACGTGAGAAACATTAGTTTTGAGTATTTTATGCATCAATGAATACACCTGTTTCTATGCATTTTTGTCGGCGTTTGCGTCTATTTCCTGGTTAACTAACATTACTTTAATAACATGACCCAAGTTGTTTTCCTAATTACAATTAGATATACGGATTTTACAGATTTCTCAGTTGATAATTCAGGTAATATACTCGTTAATGTTTACCGATCAAGATAAGAACATTATTGCAACTGTTAAAGTAATCACGTCAAGATTTAACAAACTGTTTATGGCCTTAGTAAATTATTTTATATACCCTTGTTGCGTAACAAAACAAAGTTCAAATTATCCATGACATAAACTGAATAAATTAACTTTTTAAACAAATCTTATAATTAGTGAACGGCAAAATCTTTTATGTGCTAATTTTTGTAGAACATTGAAATATCCCAAAACGGATAGGCTAATCTAGATATAAAAATAATAAAAAGTATGATTATGTTGACTGGACAAACAAACTGGAGATTAACTACAAATTCACTATTTCAGAAGGCAAAGTGTCGAATAAAATAAAATAAAATTTACTCTATAAGTTGTGGTTTATACCTAACCAAGTATTTGATAAAAGCCGATATAGCCGTCTAGTTTCAAACCAGGTAAGTCACTTTTTACAAATTGTTCAGGAAGAAGGAAAAACTTATAACTACTTGTTTTCTATTTATTTATTTTTTAAATATTTTATATAAATTGGTCATAGATGATTACATCCTTGATTGTGTTTTCACTTTTGACCAATAATTAGTTTAAAAAAAATATTAAATTTTGGATCTACCTGGTTTTGAAACCAACTTTAGTAGTCCAGGCTGTGAGGCGGCTCCCGTTGGGAAAATGTTTCTGATTCGGTTTCTTCGCGGGTTCCGGTTCAAAAATGTCCCCTTTAAACAAATCTGAAGGGTGCCGGGCGAAATTTTTTTGCAGAAATTGTTTAAACAATTTTTTTAAACAAATTCCAAAAATATTTTTTTTTTAATCTGAAAAAACGTTTTTTTAGATTTTTGGGTCATTAAACAAAAAAGGTCTCTTGTCATTTTTCTCTAAAGTTGATAGTTTTCGAGTTATAAGCGATTTAAAGTCTGAGAAACGCGAAAATACTCATTTTTGAGGCTTGAAAACACATATGTAAATTATTATTTTTGAGGTTACCAAGTGTCTAAATTGAAGTTTAAACATTCAACTTCAAGATTGTGTAGAGTAATCGGGGCTTATTTTAATTTAGACCGTTGTTTTTTAATTGTTAAATATGAGCGTACGCCCGATTTTTCAGCCGCCGCGGCGCGGCGCGCTAGAGTGCGCTTCTATCGTACTTATGCATAGTTTACATATACACTTACGCAAAAAAAAACCGAACAAATCCTTGAAGATTATTAACATAGTTTTTTCCATAATTTATTTATGTAGGTATTAATTATTGTCATTGGGCTAATTAAATAAATCAATCATCGCAATGTAATAACCGTATATAGTTTTTTTTCTTCCAAATTTGAACAATATAATTATTATTTATTGAGTATATATTTATTTATATCAATTGTAAATAATATTTTTAAATTATTATTTAAATAATACAATGCAGTAAATATTAATATTAGTAAACTTAATTTTAAATTGCGCGGTGTTTAAAAACAATATACTATCGCAAAAATGCAAGTTTTTACCTGTTTAACAATCGCGCGCTCATACTTGATTTGTAATTACTTAAACGATCATTAGAAGACTATTGTTTAATGCCCATTAAAAGGGTATTATATTATTAATGTGTTATTAAAAAAATTGTGAATGGATTTAAAATGTCTTTTTCCGTACCTCTTCTTAAATGAAAACTTACCGAAGAAAATTTAGTTTTTATTTTTTGTAATAACATCAACAATATTAAGTTAGTGCAAAAACCTAAAGTAGATTTTTACATAACAATACAAAATGCTGCTCTTCGACGAAAAGACAGTGTGACTGAAAAATTTAATTTAATCTAGCCAATATACCTTATATCTCTGACGCACTTTACCAACACTATAGAGCTTTCGCTAAAACATATATTTGGCGAAATGCCTTATATTCCCGCTATCAAACTCTCGATTTTACACAATATGGATATTATATGTCTGATAGTGGTGGGTTGGGAAACCGTGCAAATGCAAAAAGACTTGCAAAACTAATGCTTGCAACTGCAAGAAAAATCATGTCAACTGTGTACCATTATGTGGATGTGATTTAGATTTTTGTGAAAACAAAGATACTTTTACTGAGTGATATTAGTGTGTTATTTAACAATCTTTTGTACAATTATTTTATGTTACTATTATTAGACTTTAAACGAAATTTATATTATAACTGAATTGATATAAATAAATATATACTCAATAAATAATAATTATTTGTAAGTATATGTAAACTATGCATAAGTACGATAGAGGCGCACGGTAGCGCGCGGCGCCGCGGCGGCTCAAAAATCGAGTGTACGCGCATACTTAACAATTAAAAAACAACGGTCTAAATTAAAATAAGCCCCGATTACTCTTCACAATCTTGAAGTTGAATGTTTAAACTTTAATTTAGACACTTGGTAACCTCAAAAATAATAATTTGCATATGTGTTTTCAAGCCTCAAAAATGCGTATTTTAGCGTTTTTCAGACTTTAAATCGCTTATAACTCGAAAACTATCAACTTTAGAGAAAAATAACAGAAGACTTTTTTTGTTTACAATGGCCCAAAAAACCTAAAAAACGTTTTCCAGATTAAAAAAAAATTATTTTTGGACTTTGTTTAAAAAAATTGTTTAAACAATTTCTGCCCAAAAATTTTGCCCGGCACCCTTCAGATTTGTTTAAAGGGGACATTTTTGAACCGGAATCCGCGAAGAAACCGAATCAGAAACATTTTCCCAACGGGAGCGGCCTCACAGCCTGGACTATAGTAATGTATCTAACAAGATACATCCAGAATATTGGTTTTCCAACCAATATTCTGGATGTATCTTGTTTTGAAACAAATTGTAGCTGATTTATATGGATTTGAAAGTAAATATAAAGAAAAGAAGTTTCTTGTATGAGTTTAAGCTATTTAAAATATTAAATTAAAAAAAAATTTAAAAAAAAATTAAATAAAAAATAAAAGTGCAATTTTTATATTTTTTATTTTTTATTTTATTTATTTTGAAATGGAACAAAATCGACTGGTTAGATTACTAGGCCTTCTTCTTCAGTGAAGTGCTAGCAAATGTTGTCATTGTTTTGGTTGTCTTCAACTACCAACTGATCACCTTCTACGATCCTTTTGTAATATTCAAGAGTGTCTAAAGACTTCCAATCTTCCCCGAAATGTTTTTTAGCAATTTTCTCACATCTGTGGGTTTTATCTCGGAAACTGTCCCTGTTTTTGTAGCAATGAGCTGGGGATCATTTATACCTTGAAAATTACTTCCCTTCTTACAAAATTCCTTGTAATGGAAAAAATTTGATCTGGAGTTAACATTTTCTTTGATAAGAACATCGTTGCCCTTGGAACTTTGTTTGAAGTGAACCCTTTTCGAAGGATTGAAGTAGAAGTGCCACTGGGCAGGAGGTAGCACCACGTTGAAGTTTAATGTCCAATCATGGTTTAAGTCATACAGTGGAATCACAGTTCCATAGGAAGAAAAAACTTCAACGTATTCAGCTGGTTCAATGATCACTGATTTTCTTCTGATCTCCTTCTCGATTCTACCAAATACAGGTTCAGATGGGAGAAAAGTATGGCCCACTATGGCAAACACAAACTCGGTGCTTTCCACAGTTGCAGGAGCTTTTTTTCAAGAGCCAAAACTCTAACATACTCATCATAAAATAGTTTTTATTTTTTTGTTTTGCCTTCCACATCCGTCGAAGGCAAGGCGGATAGTTTTCACAATTTCAAAAATGTTCAATTTCTTTAGGCAATCAAAAATACCAGATGCTCTTTCATTTGCACTTTTTCCGTATTGGTCTTCTGTCCAGTTGTATATGAATACATTTTCTTTGGTTTGGTTGCAATTTGAGTCACCAACTATAATGGTTAAATTGTAAATGTAGAGTTGTCTTACGTAATAAGCGCTTTGGTATGGCACTTTTTATAGAACTTGATTTTTTTTTGACAATCGAAGGATACCGTCACTAAATCGTCCCGTTTTTCTTTTAGCTTGTGCTTGTGATTAATTCTTTCATCCAAGGAGAGTCATGTGGAGCATTCATCAGTTCTTAAGCTACCAAATCCCAAGTTAAAATTTGTAATAATGATTTAAAATGCGATTTTTTTACCCGGTTCACCTCTTGGGTCTTAACGTTATAGAGGCGCCACATTTTCTTAACGTTCAGATCTGAAATCAGATACTGGCGAGAAGTAGTTTTAGACCTACAATACTGGCTTTCAAGTATATTAAACTTTTTTATAAAAGTGGTATCTGATTCTCTTTTTCCTAAAAATAAAATGCGCCTCCTATTCCCGCCTTTTTTTTTTGTGGTAGATCACCAGTGTTAAAGTTTCTGGTTAGAACACCCAGCGAATGATTAAGCTTGATTCTCAATGTTTTTAACAACGCCTTTTTACATACACGGACTCTTTCTTCGACGACTTTTTGTACACAAAGTAATAAGCACTCATCTTGTTTTTTCCTCTTGCATTGTTTAAGATTTTACAGGATTTTGGTTCAAATGTCTCTGAATACTTTAAAATAAACGAGTCTTGATGTATTTTCAACACGTTTGATTTTTTTATAATTTTGTAAAATTGGCTATGAAAATATCTTTGGTCAGTGTATGTAAGTTCTTGGCAGTGATATGCCTTTCCCTTCTTTTAGTGATTGCAAGTAATGTTCTTCGGCAATCCATCTGAACCATTTATGTAAAAAAAACCCTGTTGTAGTAGCCACACACATCGGTTTAAGCCCAAGTTGCAAAAACTTTTTTTCAAGTAACCATATCAATGATATATAAATCGGTTAAAAAAAAACTTTGAAGTCTAAAAACCAATGAGGCTCTCGTTCTCGCATTGACTTCAGGGTACGACCTTAATCCGCCACTGCATACAGGGTGTTTCAAAAAAAGAATAACCCGTCTCTAAGGTAGGTAAAAAACTGAAAAATAATGGGGTTTGCTTAGTAAAAAATTTTTGTAACGCCATCCGTTTTCAAGATACAGGGCGTTGAAGAAAAACAATTTTACGTATTTTTTACGATTTTGGCGAAACTACTGGCAACATTGTAATGAAATTTTATACGATTATGTTTTGGAAGCTGATACATCCTATGAATTTGTTTTTATATCCGATTCTCATAGAGGGCGCTAGTTACAAGGATCGTACTAATTATTAGTAAATATAACTTTTTTAAGATTATAATTATTAATCAAAATTTCAAGTAAACTTAAACATCATTTAATTTTACACGAAAAAGGTACTCTTGGAAAAACTCGACACTGTGTACCGTTTTCGGAATATTTTGGTTTGAAAATTCTGAAGTAATAATTATTGATGCTGGTAGTAATGATAAAGTTCTAATAGATATACCTCTATTTTCTCCAAGTGTTCCATGGAAATCTGACATTTATTGATTGTTATGACGATAAATCAACAATAATTAGAGTTTTGAAACCTTGTTATTTGTAAAATCAAATCAAAATGTACTCAAATGTTGAATACACTGACATGTTATTAACCTTAGGCGAATGTTTAGGATGTTCTAGTGCTAGTTCTAGTTTCCTAGAAGAAACTTGCATAAGGAAAAAAAACATTTAGAGCCGTTGAACGACGTTGTCGAGAAACTGGGAATGTGAGACCAAATAAAATAAATTCTGGTAGACCAAGAACAACAAGAACATAATATTTTAAATTTACTTGATCAAGATCCAACAGTTAGCGTAAGGAATATAGCAAGACAAACAAATACTTCTACTTCAAGTACTTGCGGATACTGAAAGTATCCAGAGCTCTTGCCAGATGATCTACCGGTTAGAGTGGATTTTTGTGTGAAAAAAATGCATTCTTTTTACGGACGAGGCCACCTTTACGCGACAAGGTATGTTCAATTCCCTAATGCATACTACTGGTGTGATGAGAATCCACAAGTCAAAAGGGTATGACATTGCCAACACAAATTTAAAGTTAATGTTTGGGCAGCAACTTTAGGTAACAAATTAATAGGTTATCATATTCTACCTGGAAATTTAAATGGTGGTATGTATCTTGATTTTTTAAACAATTCCTTATTCGAGATATTAAAAGATTTAACGCTAAACGAGCGAAGATCTTTATTTTTTATGCACGATGGAGCTCCACCACACTTTGATAGAAGGTGTCGTAATTGGTTGAGTAATCATTTTCCGAATCGATGGATTGGTAGAGGTGCAGAAGCTCCGATTCATTGGCCTCCTCGGTCATGCGATTTTAAACCTTTGGACTACGCAGTTTGGTCGTATATTAAGGAAAAAGTCTATGCTACAGAGGTAAATTCACGCCAAGAATTGGAAGAAAGAATTCAACGTCAATTTAATGACATCATAGCTGATAGTCTACCGTTTAGAAGGTTTATGGAATCTTTAGAAAAAAGAATAGACTTTTGTATTCGCAAAAACGGAGGGCATTTTGAACACTTACTGTCTTCTTCTTAACGTGCCCTATCAAGTACCAAAACGGTACACAGTATCGAGTTTTACCAAGAGTACTTTTTCGTTTAAAATTGAATGATGTTTAAGTTTACTTGAAATTTTGATTAATAATTATACTCTTTAAAAAGTTATATTGACTAATACTTAGTACGATCCGTGTCACTAGCGCCCTCTATGAGAATCAGATATAAAAAACAAATCCATGGGATGTATCAGCTTCCAAAATATATTCGTATAAAATTTCATTACAATGTTGCCAGTAGTTTCGGCAAAATCGTAAAAAATGCGTAAAATTTTTTTTCTTCGACGCCCTGTATCTTGAAAACGGATGGCGTTACAAAAATTTTTTACTAAGCAAACCCCAATTATTTTTCACTTTTTTACCTACCCTAGAGACGGGGTTATCTTTTTTTGAAACACCCTGTATAACACAAAGTTTTCAAAGAAAATAAAAAGTATAGCTTTGCCTTTGCCTCTTTTCTCGTGCTCTTTTCCAGCTTGCAGGTTCTTTCCTCTTTTTCTGGTCGAGTCAGAACACACTACGGGTTGAATTTTCATCAAAGAACCGAACAGAACCAAACAAAAACTACAAAATAAATCAAAATAATACGAAAACACGTACCTATTGTCTCATTAACAGCAACAAAGCAGCAATCACGACGGAAAGCTACGCGACGTTCCCGCACGATCTTTGCGCTGTGGCTGAAAGCTCTCCCTTGAGCGGATCTACCTGGTTTTGTTGCAAACTTGAGACCTTCCTTGTTTTGAAACCAACTTGACTTTAGCTAATTAATTTGAATAGGATGTACATTATTTTGAACATTCTTACTTGGCACACAGATGGATCCGTATTTTAACTCAATAAAAATAACATTAAAAATAAAATCTGCAAAAAATGGATGCACCTGGTTTTGAAACTAGATGGCTCATATATCAATCGCAATAAGTCGTAACAGAGTACAAAATTGGGATGCAATAAATATATTTTGAATATTCCAAAGATTTCTCTTATAGCCAAATTTATAATTTTTATAATACTATTTTACTGTTAACTTGTTTAACTGTTAACTTCTTTTCATGTAGATAATATGTACTAGTATACCACGCCACTGAGTCTGCACATCCATATCATCTTACCTTATCACATACAATAGCGTGACTCCACTAACATTTTGTATTTTTTTTCTAGTGCATCCTGACATCGGAAAGTGTGCTAATGAAAATCATCATTTTATTAAATTAACGTCAATTAAACAGTGTGCGCGTATACCATCGGAGTAATCAGAGCAAAAAATATCCACTTAGAATATTCATAGAATCAAATCGAAGACAAAATGTTGCAGAATTCCTACAAGGCCATGTACCGCCCAAATTTTTACGAAAGCACGTGCTTGAGGTGCAACGAAACGGTGTATCAAGTCGACAGGGTCGGCCCTTGAAGGACTTTACTTTTTTTCATAGTGGGTGTTTTAAGTGCGCCATCTGCGGGACGAAACTTACTTTAAAGACTTATTATAACAATCAACATCGGCAGGAAGATAAGGAAGTGTACTGTAATAGTCATGTACCTAAAATTGGACCCGGGCATTTGGACGGTTCTTCGGTTGGAATCAGATCAGCTCTCAACGTCCCTAAGAGCACAAATTTGTATAATGAGCAAATCAGGGGACCTAGTCGAGTTAGCAACGATTCAGAAGGTAAGTTATTAATACGTTTGTTTAACTAGTTTTTAACTTAAATTTTCCTATATGTGGACTATGAAAAGGTTCGTTTTGAGTTGACTTATCAATTCGACTACTCAGACGAATTTATTTTTCTTTAAACTACTCGTGAGGATTTTCATATGTTCGTTAATCACTTTAACAAACTTCTTTTGGCACTAAATAAAACAGTTCTACGGCACGGCATTTACGAGAGCCTTTGCATTTTGTTTTTAACTTTGTTTCGAAAAATAATAGCTTTGGATGTGAGGATCAGAATTCGTATTTGGCTTTGTCGTTATGTATATAGCACTATGTATATATCTATATATATACTAAAAAACAAGAAATATTCAAATATAGTGATGAAAAAATATTATTAAAAAATAAAACACTCAGTTCGAAACAATTTCAAGAAATCTGAATGTTACTAAAGGCAATTTACAGAATTACTGGTATAGTGAAACGTCAAGTTAGGATTTTATATTCATATGTATATTCAATGATGTCCATGAGATTAAGTCCCAACCACTAAAGTGAGTAGAGAAACGCACACTTATAAAACTGGTTTGAAATGAGATTCCTAAGGAAAAAAGGTCACTTCGATGTCCCAGAATGCGATTAGTCCAGTCGGGATGGGATTTGATCTTGCATGGCAAGCTGTCCCAAATTTTATTATTGTAACCTTTAGGAGGAGATCAATCTTTTTCTTCTTGTAGTGCCTATCCGTTTCGGATATTGGCGACCATCATGGCAATCTGTATTTTGCAAACTGCCGCTCTGTAAAGATTTGTGGTTGTTGTGTTGAACCACGTAAGTACGTAGATTTTTCAGCCAGGAAATTCTTCGCCTTCCTGATCATCGTCTTCCTTCTACTTTTCCTTGTAGAAATAATTGCAGCAACTCATATCTTTCTCAGTTTCTCTTGATGTGACCGAGGTATTCGAGTTTGGCTGTTATTGTGGTTAACAAATCATCTCCTTTTTGTATTCTTAATAAAACGTCCTGGTTAGTAACGTGGTTGGTATAGGATATCTTCAAGATTCGACGATAAAACCACATTTCAAAAGCCTCAATTTTCTTGCAGGTAACCTCTGTGAGAATCCACGACTCAACTCCGTACAATAGTATAGGAAAGATATAACATCGTAGTAACCTGATTTTTATGGGTGCTGATAATCGTGGCATTTTGAGTAGCTTACTCATTTTTTGAAATACAGACCTTGCTTTCTCTATCCTACATTTTATTTGTAGGGAATGGTCTCAATTTTTATTGATGTTCGTACCAAGGTAGGTGTATGTTTTTACTCTTTTTGTTGGTTGACCATTCACACTGATTCTTTCAATTTGCTGTTTCTTCTTAAAGATCATCATACATTTTGTTTTCTTATTGTTCAGTGAAAGTCCATTAACTCCTGGAGGACTTCATAACTGTCAGCGAATACCAGCGTGCCATTCGTGTATCTGATGTTATTGATACATTCTCCGTTAATTCGGAATTCCGGCCTAAACATCTACTTTACTGCTTTTTGAAAGATTTCCTCAGAGTATATGTTAAAGAGCAAGGGTAATAGTATACATCCCTGTCGGACCCCACGTTTGATTTTGGATCATCGGATTATCATTCGGATTTTCCCGCCTCTGTACGGATAGACGATGTTTGATTTCAGTAAAGATTGCTAATAATTCTTAGATCGCGAGTGTTTATTCCAATATTTGTTAATATCATCGAACTCTTTATGGCAATCAATAAAGCATGCATAGATATGCATGCATAAATATATAAAAAAAACTGTACGGCTGATTTTTTCTTTGCATAGTTTATATACGGATACCGATTTTGTTTTCTTTGGTAAAGAAATAAACGTTGACTTCAACCATGATATTGGTATTTTTTACACCCTGTATATATATTTTTTAAAATGCAATAAGTGATTTTCAAACTGCATAAATAGCCAATGAAAACAACATATGCCACAATGTTGTCGCACTTTTATTAAATTTTTAGTGAACGATCAAATCTTACCAAAAATAGAACAACCATAATGAAGTATCAAATTATTAGGTATTAATTTAAACAAATGTTATAAATTTCAAACATTTTAATTAAAATAAGTTCCTACAACATAATCTAATACGTAGAAAATTAACATCTTTACTGTCACTTTGTATTATCTCTACGATAGAATCAATTGTTTTTCAATTTTAAATTTTTACTCATAGATCGTATTGGGACATTTTTTATATGCAGTTTTATTTTGGATATACAGTTTTTAATTATTTGCGAAAAAATGGCACTTTTCCTAGTGGAACAACAGAGCGACATGTAGATGAAGCGCAGGAAGATGACATTATGGACGTCGTTACTATGAACCCTACAATAAGCACTAGACAAGTAAGTCGAGAACTCAATGTTACTCAATCAAAAGTAAGTAGAGTCTCACAAAAAAATAATCTATACCCAAATCACATACAAATGGTTTAGCGACTACATGATGGGAGATTAGATCGATAGGTTGGAATTTTGTAGATGGATTAACAATAATCGACCAACGCTATACAGGACACTATTTACAGATGAAGCCCAATTTACCAGAGACGGGATAAATAATTCACAAAATTCACATGTGTGGGCAGAAGAAAATCCCCATGCTATTCGAGAACGTCGTTCTCAGTTGAGGTTTTTCGGTTAACGTGTGGATTGGTGTCATAAATAACCAATTAGTAGGTCCTCACTTTTTGGATGGTCCTTTAACAGGGCAGGTCTATTTGAACTTTCTACAAAATATTTTGCCGAATTTGCTTGCCAACGCGAACGTTGCTATCCGAGGGATGTATTTTCAGCATGATGGGGCACCCCCCACACTTTTTACTGGCAGTGAGACAACATTTCAATAATGTTTATGGGAACAGGTGGATAGGACGTGCAGGTCCTATTTCGTGGCCTTCAAGATCCCCTGATTTCAATCCCGTTGATTACCATATTTGGGGACGATTGAAGCAACTAGTTTACGCAGTGAATATTAATAAACCGACAACAATTAATTGATAGAATTATACATTGTTGTAATACTATTAGAAACGATCCCCAGAGTATCCGTAATTCAATACGTCAATTAACAATTCGGCAACAAAAATGTGTACATATTTTAGTTTTTTTTAATTGTTCTTCGTTATTGTTAGTAGTTACTATTTTTTGTTATGCAGTGACTCAGTTTATCATTTCAATTAAAATGTTTCAAATTTATAACATTTGTTTAAATTAATTACCTTATAATTTGATACTTCATTTTGGTTGTTCTATTTTTGGTAAGATTTGATCGTTCACTAAAGATTTAATAAAAGTGCGAAAACATTGTCGCATATGTCGTTTTCATTGGCTATTTATGTAGTTTGAAAATCACTTATTGCATTTAAAAAATATATATATATATACAGGGTGTAATATTTAATACGAATCCCTAAATTAATTTTTTCAAAGCCAGTCCTGGAATTTTTTAGTTTAGCTAATACCAGTCGAATGCTTGATGTAGTGTACTTTATCATGCAAAAATTAAAAAAATCAAATGAGCCGTATAAACACTACAGTAAAATGAAATAAATGGTCAATTACACAAATCCCCTGTTAATTAATAAAGAAGAGGAGTTGACATTTTTTAGTGGCCACATGATATGCTCCCTGAGGGACTCTACATATGGTAGAAGTATGTAAAGTTCCTCATGACTCACCCTGTATAATCAATTTGATTCCTTATTATGTTTCTTGGTTGATCTTGCGGAGAGACCCAAGGAAACAAACGTCTTGGTGATAGTTTGAAGAACGTATTTCGTATTGCAAATTTTTGTTCCTCTACAAATAGTTTTTAATACTTCTCCTCCTTCATTTCTCTTCCCAAGACCAAAATCACCAATTATTTCACCGCTTTTCTTTTTACCAATTTTCGCATTAATGGTAAGAATCATTTTAATATTGTACACATTGAATATTAAGGTTAATAAATATTTTAAAAATTGTTTCTTTGTCAATGGCGAAATATGGCATAGAAGGTTTGGCCATATAGACGATGTTTATTTAAATAAAACGCAAGATGGAATAGTAGATGGACTGAATGTGACTGGGGAAATTGAAATTAAAACCAACACTGTATAGTTTTGTTTTAACACACAGCCAATAGTTTATTGGATATTGTACACATTGATGTATGTGAACCTATAGAGAACAGATCATTAGGTGACTCCAATAGTTTGGTAACTTTCCAAGACAATCTTTGTAAAATGTCTTCATTTATTTTATTAAAATAAAAAAGTGAAGTTTTTAATTGTTTTAAGAATTTTAAAAGTATGACTGAAAACCATAAGGGTGTTCATATAAAAACTCTGCAAAGTGACAATGATGGAGAATTTTGTTGAAAGGAATTTGGTAGATATTTAAGTGTAATTAGTATTGTACATAAAAAAACCAATCCCTAAGCTCCTGAACAAAATTGGAGTATCCGAACGTTTCAATCCGACAATTGTAAAAAAGGCAAAGTGTCTTGTTTGATGCCAATTTTGGGAAATTGAAATTGAATAATCCCAAAAAAATGTAAGCAGAGATGTAAAAAATTACACAAAAAAAGTTTGAAGTGATTCATTTTGATTTAAAATATGTATATGAGGCAAAAAAAACTTTAGATTCAGTGAAGAGAAAAACAAAGATAATGTTGAAACTGAGACCAAAAATAATAGTAATATTTTTAGTAATGAAGAAACTAGCTGCTATGAGGAAGATAATTTAAGTGATAAAGTGTTTGAAGTGCCCAATTTTTAACTGAAACAATTACAAAGAAGTACACAAAAAGTCAGAACAAGTAAAGAAAAAGAAAAGACTTTATTGAATTTGTGATATATATGTGTACGGAAACAAGTTACAGTTAATGGATTTTGGGAACAGGTATGACCTTGAAAATGCCACAAAGAATATAACTAAATATCTCTTTTCTTACTCAGACTCTTTA